ACTCTCTTACTTTGATAACCTCTTGACTGCCCCTAAAAGCTGGAAAAAATTTTCTTCCCACAAAAAAATGGCGCCAAATGTTAGCAAGAGTCGTATTCTGGAATGTTAACCAGTTTTCTGAGTGTTCATGGCATTTCGATCTTAACAACATCGATTCTTATGAACTAATCGCAAAACACTTACAGACGACAAACTTTCTGCAATGGACCAGTCTTGGCCATTCTGTACCGCTCAATTTAAGGAATGCTTATCACAATCCAGATTATACAACCCTAAATCAATATTTCAAAATTCACTGCGGCTTTTTTGATGTAATATTGCTCTAGTGATTTGGTTAATGGCGGTTCACAAACTGCTGTTTATTAAAATTCTTTGAAAACTCTATAAACACCGTGAGAACTAAAATAAAAGATACAAATAAATTACAAATTAGCTTGCGAAAATAACAGGATATAAATACATTTCACATGCTTCGAAAATGTTACAAAAGTGAAAGGAGAAAACTTAAGATTGATTTACAAATAACGGTAAAACGATGTCATATACAACTTGACTTTATCTAAAACCTTAAGACTTAAATTTACAATTCACAAGCGATGAAACTGAACTTAAACGACTAAAGATTCAAACCGTTTCCATAAACAAACTAAAATAGCGTAAAAAATAATTACCTTGGTGCTGCCTTGATCACCAGAACAATGATAAACTTGGAGAAACTTGTTAACTTGCGGTGAATTAACAGATCTTGCGTCAACTGATCTTGCTCACGAAAAAACTAATCTTTTATAACGCTATTTGGGTGTCGCGGCGCTACGCGTGTGCTTTTGCGACACCACAGAACTTACTAGAAAGACCTAGGAAAAAGGGTAGTGCACATGCGAAACAAATAAGCACGAAAAAGCCTTAAATAACTGTGTCGCACATGTGTCGCACATCGCGCGCGCACAACTAAACTACTGTAGCTACATGTAACTTAAAAGAAATCAAAAGACAATTACTTTCTTTCCTAATAATGCGAAAAAATTAAAGTGAGAATTTAACTTAACCGATGAAGCACTGAAAATGGCTTTTTCTCTTCCCCATTCAGTTGCTTTCGAGCGATATGTCAACTAGGCCTTTCAGTTCAAAATATTGAACTCCATACTCTACACGCATTCAAAATTACACGAATCGGGTACATTGCAGATAATCTGTGTTCTTTCTGCAAACGTGAATCAAAAACAATGCAGCACTCAATTTATGATTGCTCTTATTCAATTTCTTTCTGGAAAGATTTCGAATCATATTTACTTGTCATTGACAACACAGCATACATCTTCATTTAAAGGATTTATTAATCGGTCTTCTAACACCAGAACTTCCCTTACTTAATTATCTGTTACTTATAAGAAAAATTTATTTATGGGGGTGTAGAAGGAATAAAGAACTTCCAAGTGTACGAGGTTTTAAATCAAAAGTCAAATTAAAGTATGAGACTGAGAGACACATCTGTACAAAAAATATTATTTAGATATGTTTAGGAAGAAATGGGCAATATAAATACTAAAAGTAGTTGAATAACTTAGAACATGTCAGGCTCAAATAGGTGTGGCTTTGCTATGTAAACTTGTTCATGACTGTGTGTGAATGGGTGAGTGTGAGTAGTTGTATTATACCGAAAGTACTGGTAATTATGTTTCGTAAAGTATTGTACTGAAAGTCGTGTAAATAGTTGTGAGCATTGAAATAAAAAAAAATAATAATAATAATTAACAAAAAAAGGAGAAGTTTCTACAGGAGCAAGGAGTTTCTGCTGGTTTACGGAATTTAAATCTTACAAAGAAAAGGGGAATATACCATGTGGAGGTTTGGAATACTTTTTTCCAACCGGTTCAGACTGCGGTGTTATGTCGCAGGCACTTTTGCCTTCACCTTCACCAGCCTTAGCCCAAGTTATTTTCTATGTTGTGTCTCACAGTGAATACAAATTTTACGCAACTATGAAAACTTTCAATGTAAAACTAACCGTAAATGGTAAATTTCACACCAAAGACATAGCAGTTCTTAGTAAATTGAGTTTATAACCTTTTCAGGCTCTGGAACTGAACCCAGACGAATTTTACATACATCAGGGCTCGCGCACGATGTTGGTGCACAAATCAAAATTAGCAAAAATCGGACGAAAATTTGTTTTAAAAATGCTGTAATTCGCAGGTTATTAATTTTTTCTCTTCAAATGAGCACCATCTTGTAGCGATTTTCATGTAGTTTCCTTCCATCTTAGCTACGTCTCAAAAGCACTTGAGCCTCTCTTGTAAGGAGTCAAAATCACACACACTCTCCATTCTAAACTTTGCAAGTAGAGTAACACATCGGGCCGTATTTTATGCTACTCTTATCACGCTCATTGCAGGCACGATTTGCCATTTTTGCATTTTTGGCAAATTTTGCTTTTTGCCAACAACGTGCATGTTACCCCTTTTGGTGGTTTTTGCTTTTGCCTTTCGCGCCAGCAAAAAAATCGTGCCTTTTTGCTTTTTGCTTATTTTGCCTTTTTTCCGAATCCAGCAAACTGAGTTGGTTCAATTCTGAACGTAAGCTTGCTTAACCATATTACAGGTTTTGCAAGGCAAAGCATTGCAAATTATTGTTAAACGAACTCTTTCAAATCACAAAAATGGAATCACAAAAACGCGAACTATAAGAGAATGCCACATGCTAGTAAGTTACGCCATCAGAGTGCTTATCAAGGATTTGGAAGCGATGTAACTTTAAATACGGGTTCATCTAATTTTTGTCCAACCCGGCGATCTTGAGAAAATGACAGGACAAATCATCTTATGTCTTTTTTATTTCTTTTTACACACACTAAGCAAGAATCTTCCCTGCATCTTCTTGTTCATTTCGTGTTCATCGCAGCCATTTTGTTATTGTCAACAAGCCCAACGTATGTCCAAATAAGGAAATGGATGGACAAGTCGAGTTAGACTGGGATTGAAAGGTTTCTGTATGAAGAGAAACAAAACAAAACATCGATGTCTTGGTTGACCTTTACTACGGTGTTGTTCGCCAGCAAAGCAAAACGCGTTAGCTCAAGCAGCAAAAGCGCCCAGATGGCAAAATTAGCAAAACGACAAAATTGTAAAAATAGCGCAGGCCTGAAAGGCAAAAAAATTGCGCGACGCCGGAGGCACAATTGGCAAAACGGAAAATTTGCAAAAAGGAAAAAAGTGCTCGAAATGTGCGAACAAAGGCGTGATAAAATGACAAAGTTTTGAAATTAAAAATGTGGTCTCGTCTAGTTTTTTAATCATATTTTTTTGACAAATACAACCATTTTACAGCAAAATTTAGGTGCACTTTGGAGACACCTTCTTGAATTGAGTTGTTAACATTAAGAAGTTAAAAATTATAATAATGCACTTTACGTTTGGGTCAAAAGATGGAGGAAAAACGGTACTTTTTGCCTGACCTGTTTTCAGAATTTTGTTATTGTTCTTCTAATAAATCTCTTTCAGACAGAAAATTTTGCTTTTTGGGGTGCACACAGATGGAAGTTTAGTTCTGTGAAGTTTTACGACCACTGGCTTTAAGAATGACGAGAAATAATAAGAAATCTAGCGTGTGACCGTTTATGTTACGCAACTGTACACCAACATCGTGCACGAAGCCATCTGACAGACTTATTGATTTCACTAGCGGATGGAACATTATCAAATACTCTTGCTTGAAGTTTGAATCAAAACATCCTATGAACAGTGCCCACATGCTATCTTGTCCTGTGTTTGCTCGGAAAGGTCACACATAAATTAAAGAACATCCAAAATAGTTGGCACCGCTATTCATGCCATTCATCGCAAAATTCACAGAATAAGTCAGATAGGAAAACCTGTTTGTCCTTTACAAGAAAATTGTGTCATGGTCTGAGCGGTCTCGCTACCACAGAGAGTTTAAAAAAAGAAACTTATTCTACAAATATACTGGCACATTTGTTTTGTGTGAACTTCATCTGCAGTTTGATTAGTCTGACCCGAATCTTTGAGACCGTTTCCTGCCACATGTTTTCTTGACGCGCGGTTGAACAACACATAAAATAAGAATGCCGTTGCTCTGTACTGAATACAAATCTCTTTCAAAGTATAACCTGAAATGTCACAATTTCAAATTTGTGAATACAACTTTGCTCAGTTTGTTCAAGATGTTCAAATAATTTCACCCTAGCCTAACACAACAGTGTGCCATCAAAAATCTAATTCTGGTGCCTACCAAAACATTTGCAGAATGGTTAAATTTTACCGGTCAGTTGGAAGCTGTTCATTTTGCCATGTTTTTAGAGTATAAGCTTAAATCATGATCTTGGAGACGCTAGATCTTTTAGATAAGCTTAAGTAAATCCTTCGCTTTGGTTAGTTTAGTTTTTGGTTGGTCTTTCTAGTTTTTTGAAACTATGTTTTCATGCAATATGTGAGTTAACAAAATGCGGAATTGAATTTCAATATCGATCTCTGCAACTTGGAGAAAAGTGGGACAATTTCGCTTTTTAGTTTATGAACAATCTTTGTCTGTAGTGTAAAATGAGAATTTATCAGAAGATTTCAGAAAAATGATTTCAGCAAAGCTTGTTCTAAGGTTAACTTTATTTGCAAATTTCTTATGCTCTGCTCCAAAGAAGTCGAAGAATTAGCTCGAGGGATCAAATTGCCGTGCTTTTCCTTCCTGGCCTTTAAATTACTGTCACCGGATCTGCGTAAATTTGTTTCACGTACGTTAAATAACCAGGAAACTTAGCGAAATACATGCTTGGACTGAAAACACGGTAAACAAAGTATATATTCACAGTCGATCATATCGTCCGAGTTTGTTGAAAACCTGACAAGCGAATCCTGTTGAGATTGCGTCAAGAGTGAAAATCCCGCCAACTACATGTAGCATCTTGGGAGGGATCACAGCAGGATGCTACAGCGTACCAAAATCGAGCTCATCTTCAATTTTGTAATCTATGTGCCAACACTTGTACTCACCAGCTTCCTGTATTCGCTTATCTTCGTCTTTCTTCATACCGGTATTTCTATTTTCCCATGAAAGCCTAAAAGAAATTTATCGATACTGAACATTACACTTTAACTCAGAGTATGCAGCAGGACAATAACAACTAATTCATTCTACATGAATGAAAGTGAATATATGAAATATCATATATTTGAACTGCGGAGAAAGGGATGAAGAACTGATTGATCATCGCAGTTATATACACAACTTAAGCAGTGGTGAAATTAAGGCTTTAATTTCACAACTGCTCAAGTTGTGTATATGACTCTGTGACCCCCTTTATCATGTCAGTGGTCACCCCACTTTAGCATAGAACTTCAGCAGACTGTAAACAATGATACAATTGACATTTGAAATGTGTAGGCCTTAAGCCAAAGAAAGGAGACAATTGAAAAATTCCTAAAAAATCTGTCAAACTATCAACTTACTGACAGCCCAGTCAGTGTGCTCTCAAAGGGTCTCAGATTCATCCCAACATCCGTGACAAACAAATCTACAATTAGGCAACAACTCTTGCGAGATTTTGAACATTCACAAGACAAATCACCTCCAATACATTTTTCACAGACAGAACAAAGAACCACATCCATTTCATGTTAAATCATACTGGTTGCCACCGGTTCAACCTTCTATTGCCCTTGAGAGCTACTTGGAAAATGTCAAAACACAGCTTACAGAGATTACTGTAACTACATGTAAGCCAAAAAACAATTTGTCAAGTGCTCTGAAAGAGTTGAAAAACAACTCTGCTTTAAACCTCAAAAAACAGACAAAGGTACAACAACAGTCATCATCAGTCATCATGAATAAGACAGAAAAAATGAAGGGGCCAAAGTGCAACTCGACAACAGAGTTCACTACAAACCTCTCAAAGCACTGATAGTAAAAAACACGCAGGAAAGGGTTAATGAGATCATTAACCAAATCCATTGGGGCAAACACATTGATGACATGACTAAGAAATGGCTTTCACAAACTCCCAATCCGCCTAGAATACCATTATTCTGTACGCTCATGAAAAAACACAAAAATGTAAAAAGAAAAATGGATACTGGTCGGTAGACCAATAATCTCAGGTTGTGATGGCCCTACTGAGAGAATATCATCTTTTGTGGATACACTACTCTAGCATATTGTGCAATTGCAAAATTCCTGTATAAAAGATACCACTGACTTCATCGATTTCTTAGACAAAACAAAGATAGGCCAAAATACTATTCTAGTACCGCAAACACTGGCGTCTACGCCGCACTTGCAGATAAGCCGCACCCTGACTTTGGCAAGTTAAATTTTGGAAAAATAAATAATTTGGAAAGAAATTAAAATAAATCAAAAGCCCTAATTTTAGCACTGAGATAGTATGAAAATCTGATTTAGACACAAATCTGATCTTTCTCTGGTATTTTTAATCCAGTATTTCTCATTCCTATTCGTTTCTCAGTAGAATTTACATACAACAACATGATTGTTTCGGTTCCTTCGTTCAAAGCTTAGTAACCAGGTAGGCTTAGTAATGGTATTAAAGACTCGCTGGGTAGTGGATTTAACCTTGTCGAGTACCTCTGCAGCGTCATCCGCAGAAAGAGCAGATGTTATGCTCTGTGCTGTTGAT